ACACCCCCGGTCAACGGCGACCAAGGGGGAGCAGTTCATGTTGACACGCCCCACATCGGCCCGCCGTGGCCGGAAGATGGGCGGACGCCCGTCGGGGCCAACGTAGCGCCCCTCTTCGTTGAGGTGTAGATGGGCGTTCTCCCCCGCCTCCTCCTCCACCTCCACCTCGTCGCAGGCGTCGTCGTCGACGCCCTCCTTCCTCTTTCCCTTATCGGCCCTTTTGCTGGCCGAGGCTAAGGGGGAACCAGCCCTCTTCCCTTTTCGGAGCAAAGGCTCCTCCTCTTCTTCTTCTTCCGCGGAGTTGACCTCCTACTTGGCGGGTTCGGAGTTAGGCGCCCCCTCGCCTTCCTCCGGAGCGGAAGATGCCACGCTCGATGTATGCGCACGAGCGGTGCCACCCTTCACCGCCCTCTTCTTCTTCTTCTTGGGGCCAGCCGCCGGCGCCCGCGATTGAGTGGCAGGCGCTTCTTGTTGAATGGGCGCCTCTTGTTGAGTAGGCGCCCCTTGTTGCGCAGCCGCCGCCGCGGCCGCCTCCGCCGCCATGGTAGCCAGCCGACTCTTCATCAGCTTGGCGATGCTCGAGTAATCCGCCCCTGCATATGACGAAAATAAGTTAGTCCACAACACAAACAAGGGAGCAAGGGAATAGAACACCTAGACGCCTACAAACCATCGTTATAGTAAGCCTCAATAATGGGCGGGCGGTTTTCTGCGAGGCGTAAGTCCACGGGTTCCTCCTCGCAAATTAATGGGGCGCCGGCCTTTTCAGACGCCGTCAAAACCACCGGCGCGTTAAAGTCCTCGACCTGACCCAACTCCCATTGCCTAACAAAGGCGCCCCCACTTGCAAAAAAGGAGTCCCGATAGGCCTTCACAAAGAAAAAACCGTTGAACCAGCTTCGGTTCAACTTGGGACACTTTTTCACAAAATGATAGGGGCGCTTTTTTCGTTTCTGGAGAGACAAGCAATTGTCAAGAGGCACCATCTTGAAGAAGTATCTGAACAGGTTGAAGGTGGGCTCCACGTTATGCTGCCGACACCTCAGCTTGAACAGAATGACGACCGTGATAACCGAGGGAGATAGGCGCCCGAGGGGGCAGGCGCAGGTCGTCAGGATTCCCTCCATGATCGAGTCAAGGGGAAACTGTAGCCCGAAGCGGAAGTATTCTTGATAAATCCCGATCCACTTCGGGCCACAGACGCCTACCCGGGACAAAGGCGATGGGGGCGCATACCACCAATCTCGTGGAAGCTGGAGGCTGGTCACCAACTCATGAGCCCTGCCCAAAGTGACGGTTGACGTGTGTTTCGGCCAGGCCACCTCGAAGGGTAAGTGAGACGTCTCGGTGGGAAGATGATCGGGAGGAAAACACTTCTCCCACGAGGTGATCTTGTAGGACCCATCAGCAGGCAAGAAACCAGGCCCCGAAGAACTTGACGGCCCAGCAGACGATGACGGTCCACCAGATGCTGAAGCAGGCGCCCGCTCTAAACCAACAAATGACCCAGACGCAACGCGGACACGGGGTAAGTGATGCCCCTACCCTAGGTGACTAGAATAAACTCAACGAAACTAACGAAGGAAAAAGGAACACTTACTGCGTTGAACTGGGCGCCTTGTTTCACCAGGTGCGCCTGCGCCCGAGGCGCCGTGTCCTGAAGACTTATCTTGTTGCGGGGAAGACATTTTGGACGGGAGCGCTGTGTCGAACGTGAAGACTGACAGGAAAGAGGACAGAGGACAGAGCGGAATCTAGAGAGAGGTCAGAGCAAAATCCTAGAGAGAAGAAGTCAAATGGAAGAAAGTGACAGCATCTCAAGGGGGGAGGGGTATTTAAAGAAAAACGGATGCCCCACCAAACCTCCTCGCCGCGTGCCACGTGTCAATCATCCCGAACAAACCCTTCCGCTTCCCCCACCTTTTGGCCTTTTCGCGAGCCACAAAACCACAAGCGGACCCTTGAGCTTCCCCCACCCTTTCCTTTTTGGGGAAATTTCTCAACTCTCAATTTCGAATTTTCTTTTTTAAATTCGATATTCCAAATTTCCCCGGCAAGCAAAGCGTGGGTGAGGGGGGCCCACAAAAAAGGGTCGCAGAAAGAAAGCACATGAAGCATTAAGCCTAGGCAAGGATCGGACGCCTGAAAAAGGGCGCCCACAAAAAAGGGTCGCGGAGAAAGAACACACGAAGCAGTGACCTAGGCAAGGATCGGACGCCTGAAAGCGAGGAGTAGTTGGAAAAGGCGCCCCATTTGGCAAGAAGCGTAGGAGCACATAGAAGAGTATATGGCAAGAAGCACCGCCAAAGGTGTGACGCCCGCCAGCGAAAGAGGAGGAGCGAACGCACCCCTCCGAACCAGGAACGAAGTAAAAACACGGCGTAGGCGCCGAGAAGCAAGCATCCTATAACAAAGAGGATGCCGGACTACAATTAGAGATTCAGTCAGGCACTCGAAGGCGGAGCCACGAGCACCTAACTGGGGGGCAATTGTTGGGGGTATTACCTAGGAGCTAGGAGTTTGGGTTCCCAAAGAAAGAGAGTTGGGGGGCAAGGCCCGAAAAGAAGGGACCCACTAGAGGCCCTTGGGCCCAAACAAGGGAAAGGGCCCAAAGAATAAAACACTAAAAGGCAAATTGAGGCCAGCTGTCCGGTGGACCACTGCCTGCGGGCGCCTGTCATGTGTCAGGAGCCTGGCAAGGCAGTTAGATGCCTGTCATGTGTCAGGAGCCTGACAAGGCAGTTGGGTGTCTCACAGAGGGGACACAGAGCATTAAATGAGGATAGTGACGTGGAGGAGATCAGCCTCGAGTTCGGTGAGTATAAATAGGGGCAGTCGGTAGCATTTAGGCAGGTTGGACTCTCTCTCACTAAAATACTACTTGGGAACTCTACTCTCCCTCTGGAACTAACTTGGGCGTCGGAGGATTAACGGGCCGAGGCGCCCTCCTCTTTGTGTGTGTAGGTCGACGACAGGCGAAGGGAGACGTCCGAATAGCGAAGGGGGTATAGTGGCTCAAACAATTATAGACTGAAAAACTACATGTTGCACAACCTTGCTCCGCTGAAGACCTATACTCATTTCATCTATCTTTCATGCATCTGGTACTCATTTCAAACCTCTCACTTTATCTTATTCATTCCCGATATCCTTCTCTGTCCTTATAACTTACAAGTTGTTCATAAGCAATTATATCCTTTTAAGTTATGCATATATGATCCAACAAAATCACGTACTATATATATTTATGAGCGTATAAGTTCAGGTCCCCATCATTTAAAACACTTAGTATTTGTTAAGACTAAATATGTATCATACTTAGCTCACTTATTATGTTTGTGATGTTCGATATATTTTATAGCGGTCTCAGTTGCACTGATAACGATTAACAATTTTGTGACTCTTCCAGGGAAATTACCAGATCGGTGACGCTTCATCTCATATTTACGTGTGGTATGATCACCAAATATGATGTAGTTCATTGTCCAACTTAGTATTGCCGATGACTGCGTCGACTGTCCGGTCTCTTTTATATCAAGCAAATTTAGAGCTATTTGAAGTGTTCTCATCCAAAGGGAGATGACTATTAGGACAACCACTTCATCGACATACTCAAATCCTTATGACGACAATCATTTAGTTTCATGTTGACACGTTACTATGTATGTAATATGGGGAGTAAATCACATGTACTTCTTACAGTATTTTACTGTACTTGACGTATTACTGGCATCTAAGGACCTTCATTCTATCATGGCATGTCAACTTTAAACATTTCCAAATCTCTAATTCTACTTTACTACTCTGAACTTTTCCAAATCTCTAATTCTACTTTAGTACAATTCTATATACCGAGAAATTCTCTACAATTCCTATGTCATCAGGAAGTCACCTAACGGTCTATCAAACGTGTATGCAATCACGATAATAGAATCCTTAATACAAACATACAAAAAGCTATCAAGGTTTGTAAAATCGTAGTGGAAGTTATATCAGATAAGTCAATTATAGGTATTTTATGGTTTAACTGTTTCATATTTACAAAATCATATACCGACTCGAAATTTTGGTAAAACATTTTTCGGTCAAATCATATGTACTTCAGAAAAAAAAAACCTATCCGGCCAACGGGCCGGACTCTATTCTAGTGATATAAGGAAGTAATTGTTTAGGTAGTTCTTTGAAGGATCATTCTCTTTCATGAGAGGCCCACCACTTTATAATACTAACTTTTGTATGACTCGTTTAAAGATTCTTTCTCTCTCCTTCCATTATTTGATAAGAAAACAAAAAGTACATTTGCAAAATGTCTTTCTATATATTTTAATATTCTCAATTTAAAGTAAACTTTTTATATGCATCATAATTAATAATTACTGAGCGGTTAGGAGATATTTGAATCCTCTGTTACATATTAGTTACCAACAAAAGGGTTGTTTTTAGTAAATTTAGGTTGTTTTATGTAGAGATGATAATAGGTAGAAATTAGAATCGAGAGAGTACAATTAAATGGGCAATCTTAACTACACTTATTAAGTCCAACTTGCCATAATACTCAACCATTTACAAGTGAATTGTTTGAAGAATTGAATAGTATATGTATAGATGTCCTGATTATTAAAATGGTACAATCACAAAAACTAAATATCAATTTCACACGACGTGGTTACACCAACTTCCACCTTAAATCTGTGATACTTTCGAATGCATCTCTTAGTATGGTGTTGAGCTTGGATAATTTGACTGAAAGAGGGTGGTCCTTCTAAGTGATTCCGTTCTAAAGAATATATGAAGCAACTTATATTACATCAAAATGTTTCCATTTCAGGTTTTATCTCCTGGCTACACAGCCTAGCCTAAGGGCATTCTAATGAAGAAGCAACAGAGCTTTCTAATGTAACCGGATCTGAAGGCCGAACTGCTGCTGACGGTACTCCGTAGTATGTATTTGGAATCTTGTGTTTGAGACAGAAAAAACCAGATGAACTGAAAAACAAAACCTAGCCTTCAATACCACAAGCATACAATTGCAGGAACACTCTGGCTGAGGAGTAAATCCTTTTGGCCAATCTGCAACATGATGAAACATGAACAACTACTCTTGGAGTAGGCAGTCTGACTTACAATATATATAGTCTTTCGTCTTTGACGTGGTGGATTATGCATTTTCACGTGACCTGATTGCCCATCTTGCCCAAACAATAAGCTTTTCAAAGTGGATGAGGTGCTTCCGCACCCGGTATATATGTATGCTATAAAGGATGGCAGCTAATGTTACAGCAGCCACTGATATCAAAGTTAGCTTCCAAAAATCCTGAACAACAGTGAAGCACACATTTATCAGATTTTTGCTTTATGAATGAAAGTTTCATTACTGAAGGATGAGACTGCTACCTGTGGGTTTGAGATGATTATGCCCATCACATAAGCCAACAATTCAAGAGCAGATTGAAGAGAGTTTTGAACACCTCCCACAACGCAACGATCAGATTCAGCAACTTGATCCTTCATTTTCATTTGGACACGGGAAAATCGATGATTAGCAACTGAGAGGAAAACCAGAAGAAGGAAAGTCTTACAAAGTTGAGGAATTTAATTTTCACCTGCATTTGCTGGATCACTGATAAGTCAAACATCCATAACCCAATTCGAGACAATGCAACTCCTGCCATGAGAATGTATGCTGATAATGTCCGGCTTTGGATCCATATTGCACCAACGCATACCAGAAGGCAACCCCACTGCATGAAGTTTCATTTTGCATTCGTTAGTAAATCTTTAGGAAAGACCTAGTCAGAAGCTTCTTCTGCCTTCCAATGTATTACAACTTACAAGTAACCATTCTAGTATGAGGCTATGAGCTTCAATACCTGAGACCAAATTGACCAGAGTCCAGTTCTGAGAGTTGAAATTTGAGACTGCATGACTGGGTAGACAAAAGTTGCAGATATCCCAATGATAGCACTAACACCTCGACCTAACCCGATCACATATGCAGGAATGCCCTCCCACTCTAAGGTTGCTGTCATTAAGGTGCCAAAGCTGGAAACACCGAATCATTATAGTTAGTCAGATGAATCAGTTCTCATATCAGCATGTAACAGAACTAGCTACAGGTACCAAATCATTACCTGAGAACTGTGAAAAACAGTAAAGCAAGGGCAACACCAGGGAGCACAACACTTTGTCTCATATACACTCTCCAAGCTCCAATGAAGGGTGCCTTCGATAGCCATTCATCCATTTCCCTTCTCCATCCATCATTAATCACGTTAAAGGGTGCTTCACCATGAGAAATTGAGCTCACATTCTCAGGGGATATAAAGGGCGTAGTGGTGCTTTCTTCAACATCACCGGCGGGGGGAAATCTTGAAACCCTCTTTAGGTTACTCTCCCCCAAAGCTGGAATCCCTTTATACACAGACATGAAAAGGAAGTACTCCAGCCATATTGCTACAGTGTTCCAGCAAGCTAAAGTAATGGCTGATGCTTTTAGTGATACAAAGCTGATGATGAAGCCAGACGCCACCGGTGCAAGTAGCTTACAGGTCAAATCAATCCGTCTGATGGTTGAATTCATCTCTGTTAACACACCTGGAGGATGGCCTTCGGAAATCACCACTACCCTGTATGAAGAAAAATTTGCAGACCCAGTTGGTTGCAATTGTGGTACACTACAATGAAGTTTGATGTAGTGGGCAAATGAGACCGAGTGGTTATTAGTTACCATTCTCTTTCAATCAGGATGGTGCCAACAAGAGTGGAAAGAGTGCCAATTGCTCCAGAGGCGTTGGCTAATGCAACAAGGGATATGAATGCTGTAAAATTGGTGAACTTGAGAGTTGCGGAGAGCAACAAGGCTATCACTGTGGCACCAGCAACTATAAAAGACAGGTTCTGCGTCACCAACCAAAGCCGGAGAATCTGCAGCCAAGAAATATTCCATTCCATGATAATATTTCAACCACTAAGCAATCAAAATAACCATTGTATAAAAATTAAGCAGTCTGTTATGGGTTCACCTGCACATAAGTGAGGCCGTCAATCAACTGTCCAACGAGCGGACCAAAGAGTGCAATTGAAGCAGATTCAACAGCTCCGTAAACTGCTGCCAGGATTAAAGAACCAGGCCAGAGATTGATCATGTACAACCCAACACAGAATTCCCACATCCTGCATTAAAAAATATTGAGGGGGAAAAGAAATTGATTTCTTCCCAGTTTATCATTTCACTGATGGGGAACTACAAGGGTTTATTCAGTTGAAGAATGGAGAGAGAACCTGGCATCCCATCTGGCCAAGAAATGGGCGATATATAGATTCCTGACGAGAGACGCGGGCATGGAAGAAGAAGGCGACGTAGAAGAAGAAGAAGACGAGGAAGGGCCTGTCGATTGGTGTTGGGAAGCTATATGTTTTTGTTTGTCAATCAGTGGCGCAGAAGACATGGCGGCCCAAATCGATTGGCTGTGCGCCTGTGCAGCTATTGGAACAAGTTTTTCTTGTCTGGTTTCCTGAAAGCAGAGATCAGGTGTTGTTCAATCAAGGATGGGGGAACGTATAAGAGAGATCCAGAAAGGGGCTTTATGCTCAAGGTAGAGTAGTACTGGTGCATGAAGGAAGGTGACGAGTGTTGGGACAAGTAAACAAACAGCGGAAAAGACAGGAATCGAGGAAGAAGATGTGAGGGTAGCGACAAACTAAGGGCACGGAGCGGAGCGGATCGGCTCCTCCTATATATTTTAACCGAGGCGAGCCAAACCTGATGAATGACAAACAGGTTGTTCCTGATAAAGGCAGGATGGCCCAAACTATAAAAAAAAGGGCCATTTTTCTTCATCTTCCACAGCTGCAAAATCGAATCTTGGAACGGTGTCCCCAGAAGTGGACTCGTGGGTAGTGAGGATTGATGAATTACTTTCCAGGTGATAATCTCGCAGCAAAAATTGCAAGATAGATTGGACAGGGAGAGTCTGTTGTGTTAGAGCATGCAACGAAAATATGATACATATGATTCTTGGTTAGGAGGATTTGTGACTTGAGGAGAGAACCGGCCAACGCAGAGGACTTAAACGTCGAATTTCTGTCATTGAAATGTATAGAAATCCTTATTGCGACGCCTGACATGTACGAACTGCACATTTAAATGCCCCAAAACTACCTACGACACATGTTACGAACAAAATTATCAGCAGTGGAGTGGCGGGAAGTTTCTTTTGGGTAGTAGTCTACAATACTCCACGCAAGTATTTCTGTCAACAGCACAGGCAACGCAACATCTTGGACAGAAAAAGATCAATGCATATGAATGGCAGGGCAGTCGCCTAGTGAAAGCATGGAAATGTGGAATGCCAAAGCTTCACAAAATCCCCCCCATCCCTCTGGCCTTTGGTAACTGCCATCTTTCTACAAGTCAAGTGCTACCCAAACTCTCTCTACTAGTATCTTCTATCCCGCTCCCACCTAGGAAGCTCCTAAACAAACATAAACTTAAGCAATGGAAGAGACGGTGATCACAAATTCGTAACACAAAGGAATTGAATCGACCACCACCCGCGCCACCATTCTTCTGTTTCTTTAACCAATACCCGTTCAATTCCGAGATCACAGAAAATGGATATCTAAACTTTACATGATGCTACTATCATAGTTGCTAAGCAACACCCAGTCATAGTTTGAACAGAAGAAACTAATACTCGAGCATTGCCTATTTTCGTTCACCAGCATGCTTAATCGAGGCAATATATCAAAGTTGTTTGGGTTTCTACCATTCATCTTCATCGTTGGTTAAGTAATCATCCCACTTCGATGCCTTCGCAGTTGCAGTTGTTGCTGCTGCTGTTGTTGATAACTGACGCACCATTGTTTCCTCCTTGTTGCATAGCAAGTTGGTCGCATTCCTTCTGCTAGGATCAGCTAACTTGCTCGCCTCATACTTCAATGATGCTCCTGCAATCAATATCATTATGAGTTAGCTTGTTAGAAATGGCAGCACAAGGAAAAAGGCTTATTACTCAGTACTTACCCTGAGACTCCTTCACTTGCTCTTTGTTGGTCTGTTTCATCTGATTAGGCAGTCTTTCGCCATTCCTAAACTTGGCCCTCTTAGGCGGCATCTCTGTGATCACCTCAACTTCTCCTTCTTCCACAGTCTCCTGCTGCTCGGAATTGTCCTCTGCTGGATCTAGGTATTCACTCCAATCATATCGCCTCTTGCTCTCGGCCCTGATACAAAAAGAAGAAGCTGGAACCATTGTTAATGGCTGCTCCTGAATCAATTCTCCACGCTCCAGAGAAGACGCCTGTTCGTCGGCGATTTTGCGGGCCATGTTGCGAGACTGAACGAACTGGCGCACGTCTTTGGCCACGTAGCTCTGGAAGAACACTTTCCTCACCGATTGCTTCTCGTTGCACACCACGCAAGTCCACTTGTTGCTGCTCTTCTTCTGCTGCTTCACCTGCACAGTCGAGCACTGGTAACACGCAACGGCGATGAAGAGCGCCGACGACATCTCCTTCTTCTCCTTCTCCGGCGAGAGCTGAATGCGCGGATCTGAATGAAATCGGCAAACAAATTCAACTAATGTAGGCTTGCGCTTACTAGGCCCCACATTGATCAGAAATTAAAGAAAGCCAAAAGGAAGTCGCGCGGATGGATCAGAACGAAGGATTTGATCAAAGCAGCAGGCAGTGAGAATGGCGGCAGCGAAGAGAACAAGCGCCGGAAGAGATTCGGAACGATGTTGGGTGAAGTCTAGACCGGCATCCAATGTTAGAAAGCGGCCCTAACGCCTTTTAATATCAACCCATGACCGCCCGGCGGCGGCTGTTTTTTGTTGTTGTCGGAGAGGATGCGGCGGTGGCCAATGCCGTTACTAAAACAAAGGTTTAACCGCGGCCCTCTCTACTCTTTTTCTTTGAAATCGTTTCACGGAAATGCCAGAACCTTCCGGCGCTCGTTCTTTGCTGCTGCCGCCATTGTCTTGCGCTGCTGCTCATACCTTTTACTATTTATTTCCATCATATCCATCGATTTAGAAATGAAATAGGAAGTTACAAAAGTCTTTTGAAAGAGAGAAGATGAATGGAGGAGAGGAGAAGCGGCGACCAGGTCTGTGACTGTGAGAGCGTTACTCAGGAGTGAAAGCAATCGGCGAAGAAGAGAAGAGGGTAGAGACTTGAGAAATGGGGGAGGGAGCATAATATGCGGATTAGGGCAAAGAGAAAAACGGGCCTCCGAGTGGGCTTTTCCTCTCCGGTTCTGCTCTGTTGGGTTTCATTACTTCAGATCGTGGGACTGTTGGTGGTGGACTAGATGAAAACCACTGAGAGCTGTTGCACGAACGAGCGGCAACATCGAACCAAACTAACGCGGAAGCCAGATTCTATGACCAGAGTAAGGTAGGATGTCAAAATTGTCAAGAACTAGCTGATCCCAATAACTCGAGTTGTTGGGAGAAGGTTATGCTGTATTTTATACCATACTCTAACAAAAATAACCTATTATTGTGGGTTATTCAAATGAATTCCAATCAATTTTGTCGGTGAAACCTGATCGATATTATTTTTGGATGGATTTTCACTGAAAGTGACATGGAAGGTAGTGAGTTTGTTGCGTTTTTATATATTAACTAGAACCGAAGCCCACGCTACGCGGCGGGGCTTTAAATTATTGCAACATGAATATTGATCAAACGACAAACTGCTAACATATTTTTCGCTCTTGAATTAAAAGTACAACACAACTTAAACATTAATGTGAAGGATGCACATAGAGAAGACAATTGGAATCCAAAAGGCAAGATTGATGGATAGAGATCGATAAATGTAGCATCAGTAGAAGCTGAGAGTCTAAACACTACACATGGCAAGGCCTCACGATCAAAAGTGAGTAATGGGGTAGCTAGTTTAGACTAACAGCAAAGTAGTGGTTTAAAAGTTTGTGTGTGCTAGATTGCGGAAATGCGAATGTGTGGTTCATCATAGTGTGGGCTCGCAATGTATATTTCTTGCCATAAATTGTCTACCGCATCTATCTCTGAGACATTGTTTTTGTTGTTGTTGCAACAACAATTCAAACTCTTCAGGTGTCAGACAAACCAGGGCAATGTTTGCTTCATGGTTCGTAGTGACTTTTAATTTACGACATCCGAATTCACATTAAGCATGCAATTTGTAGAATAATCTGGTGGAATGTATATATATAGTAACTACTTCAGTGCACTCACAAAAATGAGTGCGTTCAATGCACACAACTCAAAAACTAGTCTTAAGGTGTCGGATTTTGAATTTTAATTTGTAGAATTAGTGTAATATGATGATATAACATATGATAACAACTAATTAGCGGATTACCCTAAGCCCTAGACCTCCAATTTTGAGTTCTATCCTTAAACCCTAACCCTAACCGTAAATCTCTAAACTCTAAATCCTTCAAATTAAAGTAAATCTTCAATGGTTTTTGTACAAATTCATGTGTGTTATTGTACATCACATCATAAGTGATGATTGATATCATTTTGACATAAATCAAATGTTTAAAATGACGGTTATGAAGCGAGTGCACTGAATGCACCCAGAAAATTGAGTGCACCGAATGCACTGAACCCCACCATAAATATATGCATATGGCAGTGTACAGAACAATATAGAGTACATAGGTGAAGAATGTCAACCGCAATTAGCTTCATTAGGAAAAATGAAAATCTAGTTTTTATAGGGATCAAAAGAACATATCGATGCAATAAAAAACTTCAACTTTTTCCATGACCCGCTGTTGCCCTCTCATCAGCTAGTGATGTCGTCTTACCCTAGCAGCGCTTGCCATTATAGAAAAGGGAGCTCAACGGACCCTCTCCGAAATGGCTTGATCCGATTTGGGTTTATTAGAGGAAATGAGAAAGAATAGAGGCAACTCACATAGAAAGTGAAAATGTTGTACAATTTTTGACATTACAGGGTGACTCAAGGATCCATCGGTTCGGATGACCCGCCCATGAATTTGAATCGTAGTAACCAATTGAAAACAACAGAAGAGAGAAATCAATAAGGAGCATCATTAGAGCAAATGAAAAATCTGGATATTATAGGCGACAAAAAAACATACCGATGCAAAACACAAAAATCCCTTTTATCACTCTGCAGAGGGCAACTAATACAAATGGTGAAACCATTCTAACAGTGTTGCTTCTCATCGAGATATTGAATACATGACCCTAGTTTCTAGCAAGCATTATTGATAAAAAGTCAAACGTAATTGCATTTTTGGTACTTAAATTTGTGAGAAATAACAAAATAATCACCTTTTGAAGTGACTCTAAGTAACAATACCGTTTTTATTTGTTCTTTTAATAAGAACCGACCCAAAACCCGTAAACACTTGATTCAATTGTCTTTAATCGGTTTGATAAAGTGGGGCGAGTGTTTGACAAAATCCACACCCGATCCAATCCGTTAATTACAAAAGCGGATAAAATTCGGTCCCAGCCTAAAATTCGGCAACACCGATACCCGGTAGAATTACAAAAGAGGGTAAAATTTATCCCCGACCCAAAAATCGTCTACACAGGTTCAACTTGCTTTGAACGGGTTGAATTAGATTGTAAAGGCAGGTAAAATGCGTTCTCGATCCAATTCAATTATTACAAAAGTGTATAAAATTCATTCACGCCCCCAAAAGTGGCAAGGGTAAAACTCATCCTAGACCCAAAATCTTCAACATTGGATTCAACTCGATATAGCGTGACGAGTTTTTAACAAAATCGACACTCGACCCAATTCGTTAATTACAAAAGCCGGTAAAATTCGTTCCCTACAATTCGGCAACACCGATACCGGGACGAAAAAAGCGGTTAATATGCATTCTCGACCCAATTCAATGATTACAAAAGTGGATAAAATTCATTCACGCCTAGTGTCAAGGGCAAAACTCGTACTCGATCCAAATTTTGTCAACACCGGATTCAACTTGATAAAGCGGGACGACTTTTTAACAAATCCACAACGAATCCAATTCGTTAATTACAAAAGCGGGTAAAATTTATTTCAGGACTAAAATTCGTAGACCTGGCAAATTACAACCCGACCCGTTGACCCGACTCGAAACCGCTCGAAAACTAGGAATTTTTGTAACCTGAAATCCGAATGACCCGAACCCGATAACCCGTGATTTTTTGGGTCGGGTTGGGTGGGTTAGCACGTCGACCCGTTAGACCCGTTCCATTTAATACATTACTCCCAAAATATGATAAAATCACTCATAAATTGGTGAGATGTTAAAAAAAATCACAAGGATTTGAATGACATGTTTGGAGTTTAAGGATAATCAAATATTATGTGTTTCTTGTAGTAGTAATACTCCTGTGATTGTTTTTTGACGATTTGCGCAATTTATATTTAATTTCATTAGCGTGAGAGGATTTGAGAATATGTTAATTGACATGTGTTAGGTAAACTATTGTCATGCATATGTGAAAAATTGTGTTCTTTAAGAAAATATGAAGCATGTTTGATATTGTTCCTGAGAACGCTCATAACCCGAAATGACCTGTAACCCGACCTGAAACCGAATGGGTTGGGTCAATATTTGTCCCGAAATAAGCCAACCAAACATGGCCCGATCCGTAACCGATGTTCTCAACCCGAAATTACCCAACCCGACCCGATTGCCAGGTCTAAAAATTCGGCAACACCGATACCGAGTCGAATTAGATTGTACACACATGAATTTGGGTTCAATTGTCATAAGAGGAAATATTTAAAATATTTTATTAATGACCCAATTTGTTAATTAGTAGAGTGGGTAAAGTTCGTTCCCGGCCTAAAATTTGGCAACACCGATACCGGGTTGGAAAAGGCAGGTATAATGCGTTCTCGACCCAATTCAATGATTACAAAAGTGGATTAAATTTTTGGGTTCAAGTGTCATAAGAGGAAATATTTAAAACATTTGATTAAGACCTCAATTCGTTACTTACAAAAGCGGGTAGAATTCATTCCCAATCTAAAATTTAGCAACACTGATACCGGGTTAGAAAAGGCGGGTATAATGCGTTCTCGACCCAATTCAATGATTACGAAATAGCTAAAATTCATTCGTAACCCTAAAATTTGTTCCCATCCTAAAATTTGGCAACACCAATACCGGGTTGGAAAAGGCGGGTATAATGCGTTCTCGACCCAATTCAATCATTACAGAAGTGTATAAAATTTATTCATAGCTCTAAAAGTCTCATTCAATGATTACAAAGTGGATAAAATTCATTCATAACCCTAAAAGTCCCTAAACTCGTTGTTGCAAAATTGCACACTCAACCCAATCATTGACACCAAGTTCAACTCGCTAAACAAAATAAAAGGAAATAAAATTAAAACTCGTTCCCGACCCAAAACATACCAGGTTCAAACCGGGTTGAATTAGTTTGAATCCATTTGAAAAGAAAATAAATTAGTGTAGTGAAAATTACAATAACCCAAAAAGTCCCTAAACTTATGGTTAATTACAAATGGTCCCTAAATTCATTCATAACCCTAAAAGTCCTATTCAATGATTACAAAAGTGGATAAAGTTCATTCATAACCCTAGAAATCTCTAAACTTGTTGTTGTCACAAAATTGCACACCCAACCCAATCATTGACACCGAGTTCAACTCGCTAAACAAAATAAAAGAGAATAAAATTAAAACTCGTTCCCGACTCAAACAAATACCAGGTTCAAACCGGGTTGAATTAGTGCGAATCCATTTGAATGAGAAATAAATTAGCGCAGTGAAATAGTGTGAATCCATTTTAAGAAAACTTTTAAATTATATCAAGAACTTCCTAAGAAAATCAATATTGACATCTTATTATTTTATTTTAAGAAAACTTTTAGATTATATCAAAAACTTCCTAAGAAATGTTTACAACCGCTCAGTAATTAGGGATGGTAACAAAACCTGAACCCACAATACCCACCCGACCCAACCCGGTCAACACAGGTAAAATCCGTGTTGACATATTTTGGGCCGGGTTTGAATTTAAACCCGTTTACTATTCATCGGGTTGGGTTGGATTTGGGCTAGGTAATGCCGGCCCATGGGTACCCGCCCACACTCATATAATTTATTTTCTCGGTATATTTACTATTCTAAACAAATAATCTTATTTATGTTTGTGGAGACATGTCTAATTTTTTTTCCCTAATTGTATAGAATGAAGTTGATGTTATCGAGTAAAGAGCCAAGAAACTTAATTGAATCATGTTATTTATGAATAATTTGTGATTTGCTTCAATTTTCTTGAGTTTTCCAAATTGGTGTTGAACAATTTGTATAGTTAATTTGTGATTTGCTTCAATTTTCTAGAATGGTGTTTTATATATGGATAATTTGTATTGAGAGATTGATATTTGACTTTAATTTTAATAGGAACTTGTTATTGTAAATTTTTTACGACAAAAACTCGTGGATACCCATGAACCCACGGATACCCAACGGGTTGGGTTGGGTTTGAGTTTTTCAAATCCAATGAGTTTTACCCCGGATTTTTTTCACAAATAAACCCATGGTTCAGGTTTGACAAAACCCGACCCATTGCCATCCCTATCGGTGATGGTGCGAATGGGTTTTCCCAAATCACATACGGGTTGACTTATGTCATATTACATCCCATATAGTAAGCTATAGGACTGGAAGTTTGGTACCGGTATTTGGGATATACCGAATACCGTACCGAATTTGTCAATATTTGGTATTACCGAATACACGTATTATTTCTTGGGATTGGGATTGAATTTCAATTGTTATTCGGTATTAGGAATTACGGGATTGGGATCAGTATATACTGAAATACCGATCAATACCGAAATATATGTTAGTGTGTATTTTATCCTCTCAACTAGACTCTCTCATTCACTACTACACGACCCTCAACCACCAAGAGTGTCATTTAATTATACATAGATTATTTCATCACTATTAATAGTCGTCTCTCTACCTCCAATTCGTCAAATTAACGATTATTAATGACAAGAACTTGAGATGTCTCCTCTCCTCCATTTTCCTTAATAATATCCTAATTCAAAACTCTTTGCTAAGTCTTTTCCCACTAAATTAAACTATAAAATCAAATTATATATTTAATTATTAATTGCAAAGGTAATTAATTTTGTATTCGATAATACCGATTGGGATACCGAAGTACCGATTGGGATACCAAAATATTTAGGGATTGGGATTGGGATACCGAAATTATTTAGGAATTGGAATTGAGATTTACTTTAGAGGGTAATTCAGTATTCGAGATTTTGGTATTTGATATTGGGATACCGATACCGTACCAATTTCCACCCCTCTAGTTAGCTTAGTTAGCTATGAGGATGGTACGATTTTAAAACAATGCATAGATTTGGAAATGTTGTAGAGGAAAACCAGCTCCACCCGAACCCAATCCTAAGTAGGAGAGACGTCTATAGCCAAAATGTCGGTGGAATGATGAATGCAGACTGCAACGGAATTGCGATAGATGGATATTTATCTCCAAACCTCAATTATGAAAGGAGGAATACTGCTGGTGCAGAATGGAGATCAGTTGGTAATCAAATATGCCCCAAGTGAAGATTGACAGCAATGGATACTGATACCAAAGTGAAAATCTCTAAGCACAACAGTTACATTCTGTCTCTAACAGCGTGCTGAAGACGTGAAAACAGAAAACCAATTGGACAAGATACCCAAAGATGAAAAAACAAACCACGGGTGAGATTATCAGCCAGAAGCCACCCAGAATAAAATCCGGCGATGAACACAGCAGCAACAAAACACCGCCAACCCTTCCTTCCCCTACACACCATGGAAAATGAGGACAAGCTTAATATGAGAGCTTCAACTTACATCATAGCGGTCATCGTGATGAGAGGTGAAATTCAAGTAGAGTGTTTGTTCCCCAACTACTTGGTAGCTACTACATCAAGGAAAAAGAAATGGTATCAAGTCATTACTTCTTCAGTCAATTCACACATAAACCCCACCCTTTCTTACAATGGCTTTTTCACTTGGTAGGGTATTGGTACTTCGCTTCTCTAATTCATTTCATCAATAACTGCTTACTTAACGATGACTGATTGTTCAGCAGCAATATCAAAGGAATGTAATAATAAGAATGAAATCTAGCAGCATCACAGAGTATTTAGCTGGAAAGAGCTAGCAAACTTCAGTTACTCACTACTTGGGAGACTGGTCCGTATGACAATCAATCAAAGAGAACGGCACAGATAGCTTAAACGAAAATGCTAGCTAACAGTGGGCAGCATTCATTTCGAGTAATGACAGAAACATAGGATTGATTGTGGACAATAGCAAGAACAAATGAAGAGAAGAAAGACGAATTCTTCAAGACCAAACAAATTAATGAACATCGTTGGGGATAATTCAAGGTGCAACTGTAAGTACCAAAGAGAAACCCAGAGAACAGCCAACTCACTCGTTTCGATGAGTCCCCGAATCAAGAATCACCCTTCAATTCATCCGAGTCGGAATCACTGGCATTATAACCTGAGTTGATGAATTGCAAGGGTTACAGTCTAGCAACAAAGAACAATCAAAACCTTGAGAGCTTATGACAGTTTACAGTAGGGAGAGAGGCACACACCAGGGCGTTTATCACTAACTCTCCAAACCGATGACCGAGTCCTTGCCGCTCTTGCCATCCAAATCCTTGCCTGAACATTATAAATCACAGAGACTCAAGATGATGGCTTCCGTAATAACAAGACCAACAGAAGTGTAGACTTTGAAAGCATCTGGTTGCTTTGCCAAATATAACCACAATTCAAAGTTCGAAACTTTTCAAGGTATAGGGAGACAGCAAATACAAAGTAATCCACTCCAAACCCTAAAACCCCTAATCCCTCCAAATCGATCCGATTCAAGAGAAAGCAGAAAACAAAAACACAAATCCAGGCAATTCAACCCACGCAACAGGCCAACAATTTTCAATGGGAGAGCAAAACAGCCACAAACCTTTTGGCCGTCTTGAGGGACGCCATAGCCGCTGAAATACATTTGACTGACCAAGACCTGCATGTTAATATCTCCAGCTTTGGCTTCTTTGAGCGTGTCCTTGAACCACCGCTTCACGCAATCCGACACGACCTCCGACAGCGGCACCCGAAAGTTGCTGCCGGCGCTCGCGCTGCTGCTGCTGCTGCTGACGTTGTGACTTCTGTTGGCGGCGTCTATATCAGAGCTGCTACTCTCCATCGTCTTCTTCTCCTTCCACCTTCTCCTCGACTTGTCTGCTTCTCCAGCAGCTATGTTCTGGAATCGGGAGGTGGGTTTCGCTTGTTTCGAGTGGTTTACGCACTGGGCGACGAGATTGGGAAGCCTTGATATCGCGGCAGGCGATTTTCCCATAAAAGTCGAAGACCTAAGAAGGGGATTGGGCGCATATGAAAGCCGAAGATCCCAAAAATAGGAGGATGCCGCCCTTTCCGATTTGAGACCGAAAGTTCGCTACTTTAGAGACGTTTAGGGTCAAAATCTTCCTCTGGGCATGTGGCTGGCTGATTGGTGTATCTTACTCTTCGCCCAGTGCGTTGCCCTTGCCCTGGCGAAGGAAGGAAGAAGAGAGTAGAAAGGGTTGAGAATTAAGGAGGGTTTTCAGATTTTTCACCTAAAAAGGCAGCGGAGATTTCGAAGCAGTTCCCTTCCCCTAACAGGAAATCAAATAATAGATTAGAGGCCCAGCCAGGAGAGAGAGGAATATGCAGCCAATAGGAGAGACCACAAAACGACATCGTTGAGCACGAACAGAGACACGGATAAATTTAAAATTCGTACTCCTTTCCTTCGCAGCTCTGTGGTAACATAACAAGCTTGCTGACTTCACTTCTACTTTTCATTTTTGGTTCGACTTGGATAGTAGTAAACAAGAACGAACTGCAACTCCCGCGATAATGTTTGTTTCTTGGTTGCTCGCATGATTAATTTTCATAAAGAGAAACGGCTGACCTAATATATACTACAAGCTACAGCCAGTGTTAGTGGGCAGCCACAATTTCGGTTTCTGTTTATTTAAATCACAAGATAAGGGGATAAGGATAGGATGTTCTCAATTTTGTACCTTCCCAACTTCCAAGTTGGGGCAAAAAGTCCACAACAAGATTAGGTTCAGAACCAACGAACGAACAAACAAAACAAACCCCCATTCTAATAGAAATCTGCGGACGACCATTGTCTTGTTCTGTTCACACACCAGCTAGGGAACATGATAGCTTACAATTGCCTGTCTGTGGTTTCTGATTAACAAATGTGTGAGATAGTAACATAAGAGATCAAATTTTGTAATACACCAATAATCACGTCCCCCCGGAAAACCAATTAGTATCCCTAAGACCCTAACGATGATCTCCCCACCAGTAATCTTAGAAATAAGCTCAATGACAATCACCACATGCCCTCAAGTTCTTCACCAGTAATCGAACAATCTCCGTCGGAGCTGTACTTAACATCCGCGAAGACAATAACAAGCTTCTCACTATGGCATAAGAGGTCCTCTTCAATAACAAACAACACATACTTCATCGTGGGAACATATGACGCTGCTTCAAAATCCTTGTCCAGTTGGAAAGCGTGGAGTAAATGGCTTCCAATAACAGATACATGTGTCGCCCACGAGAAACTCGTGGACAACACCTTCACTTTGATCCAATTGCACCTTCGTAGTTTTAAAAGCTCTCTCTCGCTCATCAACAACAATGCAGCATTCTGCATTCCTTGGTTCCACCCAGTAGCCAAGGTAACAAAACTCAAACAAAACCTGAAAACGAGCAAAAACAATCGGTATTAAGAATCCAAATTCACAAATCATGAAATCAACTAAAGTACTAAGAGAACTCAAAAGTTCTTACTTACATCTTGCTGCTAAGTATCAAATCACAAATCTTGATTAATCTTCAAGAAGCTTGAAATGACGGGCTTGCTCTACACATTTAAACAAACTATCTCAATCTCATTGACATATATCAAATGCTGGAAGAAATCACACAACTCAAACAAGGTTTTTTGCTTATTACCTTCAGTAGTTTCAGCATCAGGTTGGAGTTGGACCAGATTGGCTTCACTTGTAGGGGAGAAACATCCTTCCAACACTCTGCTCCAGCAGCAGCATCTACAAATGCAAGCCAAGTCAAAATAGTTACATAACATGCTAAAACAACAATGAAATTGAACAAAAAGATTAACTTAACAGGGTTAAGAGCAATGTTGTTAGAAGCGAACCGGATTATGACCCGATAATATGAACGACTCGGTCTTTAGCGGTCCAACCGACATTAGACCGTTTAAAAACCGTTAGAGAACCGGTACCTAATAAACAATTTCTTAATTAGAGTAAACTATGACCAAATTAGTAAATTACACTCTTAACAATTCTAGAACATGAGAACCAAAAGTTCTAAAATTCAATTACAAACCACCATACTATTCCAAAATAAAAGCAATCTCACACGAGTCTAAACATGAAACAAGAGTTGAAGCAGTAGAGCTCGGTGTTGTTGATGTGTACCACTATCTGGATTTGGATTACTCATTTGCAAAAGAAACACCAAATCAGACAAATGAAGTGGGCTGATTCTCTACCAAACAAATGCAAATTAAAATGCAAAAAACCCAACTCCCTGCCTCTTGTTAAAATGCAAACCGTGATTCTCTACCAAACAAATTAAAATGGTTAAAATATCTGACTCCTGTTAAAATCAACCAACAACATCATTTCTGAAAGATTCTGAGTTTTCCAAATGTTTATGTTGAAACAAGAACCCACACGAAAGTTAAAGAAGGAATCAATAGTTCAATACCTTACCTCGCCGTCGTCAAGTAGGGCAGTGGCCGGCGGAGATTATGCGGAGGTGTGACGGCTGGAGCAGGAGCAAGAAGATGGGGAGGAGCTGCTACGGGATAGCGATGCCGACAATGGCGAGCGAGGTGGGGAGCTGCTACGGCCTACGGGGACTGGGAATGGCGACGATGGCGAGCGGGGCGAAGAGCTGCTACGAACGGGAGATGACGAGAGGAAGCGATGGCGATGACTACGAGAGATGACGACGCCGGGACGGGAGATGACGATGCCGACTCGGAAGCGATGCCGACGGGAGCGCCGACTGGGAAGCGATGGTGATGATGATGTCGCCTCGATTCTCTTTGTTCGTGAAGAAGACGGAAGGAGATGAATTGAAATCAGTCGCTAGGGTTTTCTTTCTTTGAAACCCAGCCCGACAATTTGTGTTTTTGTTATTTATTTATTTATTAAATCAAAACGGCCGGAAGTGGTGAAAACCGAGCGGCCGGCTCAACTGGCTCAATCGGTCAACTGCTCCGACCAGCATCCAGCCGCTTCAAAAAGTCATTTCGGCTAAATGGCTGATTTGAGCCGATTTAGCGGTCGAGTGGCGGTTTTAACGGTCCGGTCGGCTCGGTTCAGCTTTAATAACACTGGTTAAGAGTTTACCTCCAGCCAACTCAGCTTGCAACCAACTTCTTGTGCACACAAGTGTTTCCACAGTAGCATGGTGCAACCTGCTCCTATGAGGGTCTAAAATACGACCTCCAGAGCTGAATGCACACTCAGGTGCAAAAGAGGTAACAGGAACAACTAAAACATCCCTTGCTATGGCTTGCAATGTGGGATATTTTGGACCATTATGCTTCCACCACATTAAAATATCAAACTCAGCAGAACGAGGGAGAATTTCCTCATTGAGGTAACTGTCCAACTCAGTATGGACAGAAGTAACCCTTGCCCTTTTTCTTTGACTCACAAATCGATCAAAGCCCAAATCAGTGGTATTAGGAGCAGAGGACTCAACTCCCACATACCCAGAAACATTCAGATTTCTCTCCTCATTCATTTTACGTTGGTACTCCTGTACCAGATTAGATAATATATCCTTAATAGATTCCAAACAATAGCCATCAATGCCAAATTTTTCAGCATAGTAGTTGACACGCTAAAACACAACACCTAACAATGGCCAAGTGTAACCAATGAAAGGGACTGCAGTATAGTGGCACAAGTAATAAATATCGAATCCACGGGTCTCTAGAGTTACTATTACTCAGCTTCAGTTCATTATCTAGCAAACTAGATTAAGGATTGATTAACTAAACTACTCTACTAACTAAACTAAGTAAAACTACTAATTACAGTTTGGGAACTCACTTAGGTATGATTCCCCCTAGCTCCTCAATTAGGTCCAAGTTGCAATTACCTTTGGTTGATCTACTGATGATTAAACTGCGGAAGATCCTAAATTAGCTTGGAATCTCTTAAGCTGACCAAGCCCTCTCAGTCAAACTACCCGGCAGACGACTAGTCTTCACCAGGATAGAAAGCTGAGGCTATGAACACAGAACTCCACTACTGCAATGAATTCCAGTACAAAGCAGTGAATTGATTGACTCTCGCACAACCAATTCACCACTATCAATCAAGGAAGCTCTCTTAACCTAATCAGATTCTATCTATCATAGGTTAAAGCAGAAATAAAGAGAATTTGATCAAGATTCAATTGACTCAATAAATCATGCCTCAATCGATTATAATCAAACAATATAGCATCCAAAACTTCATACAAGAAAGATCCTAACACATGGAACTAGGGTTCCTCAAAACCTAAGTGAAGGGAAGTTACTCCATAGAGAAGAGAGAGACTGCAGAAATCTGATCTAGATCTTCAATCTCCATCTCCAAGCTTGATTCCCGAGATCCAATGGCGAAGAAATCCTCCAAAATAGCTCCAAGAATGTTCCCAAGTCGCTCTCTCTCTCTAGGGTTCGTCCCTTGGGTGTTTGGGAACCAAAACCCAGCTCTCTCTTTCCTTTGGCTCGAATCTGCCTCAAAAACCCGATTCTGGGCGAATTACGGGCTGAATTACGGTCGTAATTCTTCCATGCCCGTATTTTGCCCAAAACACGGGTTTTGGTTATGTTTCAGCGCACCCAAAGCTCCTCTCGGCAGTGAAATTACGGGCATGGGAGGCAAAATTACGGTCGTAATTCTCCTGCCCGTAATTCTTCCTCCTCTCCTGTTCAAAGCTTCGTTTCTCCCTCGTTCGGACTTCGAATCAGTCGCCGTTTGAACCCAGACGCTCGTAGTCTCATCCTATTTCTTTTCATAACAAGGTTGCCTGATTATTTGTCCATAAAGTGAGGTAGAAATCCATTCTTCTTCAGGTCATGACCGAGTTTCTTCTCCCTAATCGCCAATTCATCTCTGATTGACTTGAAACTTGCGCCTATGCTTCACTTTATGTGCTAGGGCCTAAAATGTGACAAAGGAACACAACCTAGCGTAAAATAGGCCAAAGAAGCGATAATGCAAGCTTAAACGATCAAGAAACAAAGGGGAAAACATGTGCAAATATCGAGTCATCAAATCCCCCCACACTTAACTGTTTGCTTGTCCCCAAGCAAACCTGACTCAAACCAATGCAGCTCTCCAGACCTCTATAGAAACAAACAACCCCGATCGTCGGTAGAGGATTTTCTAGATCATATAGCAGCTTACGAGGTCAACTGGTCTTCGAAGACGTCCCCTATCTCTCTCAATGCGAGTACTAGACTCAAGCTAGGATCACGAGAAGAAGTGGAAGTAAGACAGCCAGTTCATGGATAAAGGGACTCACATCATTCACAACCAAGGACTCGTTGTACCGGGGTGCTCTTTCACTTCATTTCACCGTTGGAACCCCTTTTTCTCACTTTCATTTACATTTTTTTTTCTTTCATTTGGTGGGGTTCCAACTG